CCACACTATCTGTATGAAGAGAAAGTCACAATTGACTCAAAGTTTAGTAAATAATATTCTTTAGCATAACCATTGGTTTTATTTTTTAATTCAGTACCAGATGAAGTGGCCACAGTGCTATGCAGAGATGAAGACTGATAGAGGGAGCAGATGCCTTCTGAAGTACAGCACTATCTTCCTCTTTCTGGCTGTGTTTGGCTTAATCTTTGGGCTAGGTAACATGGATTTCCTAAAGGTGAGAACTTTGTTTCACTGGGACAACTTGAAGAATAGACCTTCTTAGAAATGTCAATGTTGACTCATAATAATAGTTAAATGGTATTTTTCCTGACAATCCTGCACTAGGAGCCGTGTGTAGTTTTCAGTGGCATCTAGTAGTGAGGTTTCAGATTGCAGCCACTATGTTTCGAAGCATGTGCTCCTGTGTAACCGCGCTCAGCTACACTTCACTGTATCTGGCCGGTTTAATCAACCCCTCGACTCGTTGTGTATCTCTCAATGCAGCCGTTTATTATCTTGACAGGAACAGAATATGTACTGGTCAGTCATACAGTTGGCTCGCTTTAGGCAGCTCACACAAAGCACACTCGGGCACGTCTCTTTGAACTAACAACGCTACAGGCACGTCAATTAATGTTTCAAATAAAATAACATACATTAAAATATGTAGATGGACAGTAGCAGAATATGTTGTGCTCAATCATTCTGTTGGCTTGCTTGAGGCAGCTCACACACAGCACACTACAAAAGAACCAATGCTAACTAGTTTAGAGGATGCATATTGTCTTAAACACTATAGCACTTAAAAAGTACAGCAACCCACTCATATCTCGTCTTATCAATATCAACCTCACCATAAGATATACAGTTATTTATATACAATGACTATATACATACACGTATACACCCAGAACATTCTGCAGTGCAACCTCCACCTCCACTGAACTTGCCGGAGTCCTGCACTGACAGCACAGAACACGGAACATTTATCGCCCAGTGCTTGATCCGGGATGTTGACAGGGCAGGTCTCTACAAAAATGCACAACAGTCTCTAATTTCCTTTGCTTGGCCAAGGATCAGTCTTAAGTCAAAGCTGGGCCATCACTGCACCCGCCGTGGTGCCTGTTCCGGTTGACCGAACTGGGTGGACTGTGGTCCGTTGCTCCTGAACCAAAAACGCCATCCTTCTTTTCCAGTGACTGTATTTCTGTCATGGGTAATACATGTTTCAGCAATAAAGCCCGAAAAAAGAGATAACCAGATATTATAAATGAGATTGTTGCCACACTTTAGTAGAACAGTTAGACCACAGTAAATAATGTTACTGCAACTTACTGAATGGGTCTTTCACTGCGTGTTGTTGTCTGCAGCGTTATGTTTCATTATTGTATATTATGTGGGTCACATAAGTTACAGTGACTGAGACCACTGAAGAAGCTCTGAACTTGAGTATAGGTAAAATGAAAATAACTCTTAATTGATCCATGCCAATGCCCCTGCCTTGCATCCATAGGCTAATAAACAAATTGTCCACATTTTGTACCGTTATCACATTTCTTGCAGGCTAAAAACAACACTTTGAAGTAATAACGTTGCAACCACAGTATTTAGCAACAGATAACATTAGCAACTGGTTGGTGTTAGCTAATGTTCTCAAAATTGAGCTAACTAAAACATAAAATCCCCATCAATATATTTCACATGCTTTGCAGTAATGTTAGTTTACCTGTCCAATAGGATGAAAGCTATCTCTGGGTCGCTTTTTACATCCAAAACAAATGTAAGGTGTTTGAGGCAAGGTCTCTCCTTGACTCATACACCTTTACTATATTTAGGGTTCATACGGTAGAACCCTATTGTTTTTGTGTGTTTTAGATATATTATTATTATTATTATTATTTGTGTTCTGCCGCGCTGGCTCAAATTCCCGTGAGCTGGAATGAGCTAGAAACATGAAACTTGGGGGAATAACTGGAAATGGTGTGCATCAGCTTCCACAGAAATATGAACCCAATCGGCCACAAGGTGGCGCTATAATTAAGGCTTAAAAATGCAAACTTTGAAAGGCCACGCCCCTTACTCCGTAAGTCTGATTGACTTAAAATTTCTCACACAGGTGCAGCTCAATGTGCTCTACAAAAAAGCCTCAAGGACTATTAAGGTCCGTCTAGAGTTTTTTTCCGCCATTTTGAATTTTTTGAAAATCACATTTTTGACATCTCCTCCTAGACCGTAACTCTGATTGCCACCACATTTTCAGTGAATCATCATTGGATCAAGCCTATTAAAAGTTGTATAAAGCATGTCGATATCTCAATTACTTTTCAAGATATGGACCAATGAACTTTGAATGGGGCTTGGCTCTGGACATGAATGACCACAAATCAACAACCGTAGGGCCAATCATCACAAAACTCACAGGATATGTTCAGATAGGTGCTTCGGATATACCTGGACATTTTGATGTACATACGTCCCTACAAGTGCAAGACAGGTGCTTAGCATTACACAAATTATACTATAAATCCCATATTCATTCTCCAATCATCACAAATCTCTCAGGATATGTCCACATAAGTAACTGAAACATGCCCTGAAAGTTTCATTCAAATCGAACACCCGAGGGTGCTATAAATGCAAACAAACTGCAGGGGATAAAACGAAAAACAGGCTACAAATGCATATTATTTGTCCAATCAACACAGAACTTGCAGGATATGTCTACATCACCACCTCACACATACCCTGAAAGTCTCATTCAAATTGACCACTAGAGGGCGCTATAAATGCATCGTAACTGGATGTGGAATGATACAAATTGAGTTATAGATCAGAAAATTGTTGTCCAGTTGTTACAAAACTTGCAGGATGTGTTTAATAACAATGTTAAACCGTATGTGTGAAATAACTTTGATGGCGATATTGCGAAAAAAGGTATGAACCCGCGAATCGCCGCTTGCAGCTATACTGACTGTGTTTTGGTTTTCTCCTGCTGACGATTTGATTCTTGTTTGGCCCAACAGGCTCCAGCACATAAAACTTTTTTGTTGTTTATTATCCTTACTGAAGTTTGTGTTGGAGTCTATGTTTTGCTGGGAGCCGGCCATTTTTTTTCAATTAGTGGACCCCATTTCATTAGCTGCAGTGTTGTTGCTGAGTGTACAGTTCAGACTCAGTAGGCAGGAGGTTCGGGAGAGAGCATGCAGAAAATCCGACCCGATTTCTTCACATAGGCCTCAGCATAGTGGCTGTTCCAAGGGACAGAGAAAGCAGGTGTGCGGTTCATTTTTATGTGAGGTTACAACCCATTCCCAAATAAGCAATAAAAATTATTAATTGATTTAAGTGATTTTATTAAACTACATACTTTACTTCTGTCACGGACAAAATTCCATTTATCTCTCAGCCATGAAAACAGTTGTCTCTCATGTCAAAGAGAGGTATGAAAGAGCCTTTATAGTGCTTCTGGGCCAATGATGTAAAATAGCCCATTTCAATAATTTCAGTGAGAAAGTCATTGAAACACACAAACAAAATCTTGTGTAAAGCAGATTCCAGATCTTGAAACTCCTGCATTTCCCCATGGTTCAGTTTTAAGAACATAGAGAAGGCCACAGGGGAAGATGGGAAACGCAGAAATTCCCACAGCTAACAACGCATATGTTCTTAAAACCCCTAACAATATTTATTGTTTTATGCTCCATCTTGGCCCTTTATTTTATTTAGTTAATTTGCTTTTAGTACACTTGGTGGATGCATCTTTGTCACCAACTCTTTCTGTTTTCAGAGTTTCAGAGAGTTTCAGCATAAAGTGAACTTCACCATCATCTACCCAAGGGTTTCCACTCACCGTAACATGCATGACAGCTTCTGCACCTTCCAGCCACCTTCCCCTGCGGACGTTCTGGAGGAACGCCTCCTACTAGACTCCATTGCTTGGCCTGAAACTTCAATTCTACCAGATCCTCTTTCCCTGGAGCAGACCAGTGATCCTGCCCACAGCAGCTTCACCATTCTCCCACAAGGGAGGGGAGGAGGAGAGTGGCGCGTAGGGGATCAGCTGGAAGTTATGATCAAAATGTATGACTTTAAGGGTCGCCCAAAAACGTCTGGGGGAGATCTGTTATTCTCCAGGCTGCACAACCTGAAGCTTGGTGCAGGTGTGGCTGGACAAGTGGTGGATCATCTCAATGGCTCCTACTCTGCTGTGTTCTCTTTACTCTGGGAAGGAGGCACACAGGTTGAGGTGAGCTTGAACACTATCATGTTGACTTTAGTTGTACTGTAGGTGTCCAATTGATCATTCACAAAAGCCCCACACCCCTGAGTTACTGTTGATACCCCTGTTAACTTTCACTTCTCGCACCACTTGAATTCCTTAGTAATTGTGAAACTCAGCTCACAAGAAGGTTCAAGTATGCTTTTCAATGTCTAGTCAGTGGTCTCTACATAGAATGGAAATTACATTTGTCTCACAGCTCTACTGTTAAATGGTGTGATTTAAAAGAAGAGCACTAAATTCTTCTGGGAAACTTTGCATCTTAATGAACACAACTGATAAAGGAAGCTCATCTCCTGGAAAAGGATGGCCACAACGTGATAAACCTTAATTCTGTTTCCACAGCACATTTCTGCTAACTGGGCTAGTACCGCTCAGGCTGTGTCACAAGCTAACAGGCTCTAGCTAGATCTTTTTAGCACTAGCTAGGGGTGAATGAGGGACAGACTGTCAGATGGTCACAGTCTCCCCCAGCCTCTGGTTTTTATCCCTCATTTTGCCAGTGGAACATCTAAACACTTCCACATTGCTACACTGAAACACAGGCTGTTTCAGAAACATGTCACGTTGTCTAGAAGCAACCCACTGAGACATGGGCCCTAACTCATAACGTGAGTAAGGGGAAGATGATGTTGAAATAGCCCCCAGTTCGTAGCTCTCTAACCACAAGCCCAGGTGGTTGTGGTGGTTGTTGTTGAGTTTCAAAGGGAGACGAGCAATAAATCCATAATAGGGGAAGGATGCTACCCCCCATCAGCCAGTGCAAAACTTCTGTCTCAGGTGCTGAGGCAGAACCTTGTTAGGGTAAACCAATAGCGAAGCCCGAGGGCTATTCATGTATTCATAGAACTGGAGTTCCAGGTAACTACACCTGAGACAAGGTGTGCAGCTTAAAACACTAGTACTTGATTTGTCTTTATTGACATGACTGACCAGGACTGGACAGTGAAAATTCTGGTTCTCTGTCCCGTCAGGTGACGCTGGTTCACCCTAGTGAGGCTGTCACAGTGCTGCGCAGGCTGAACAGTGAACAGCCAGACAGGGTTTATTTCCACAGCCTCTTCCGTTCTGGCTCTCTTTCTGAAACCACTACCTGTAACGTCTGCCTACGTCCAACCCAGCAGCCGCTGTGCAATTACACTGACCTCCGTACAGGCGAGCCTTGGTTCTGCTACAAGCCAAAGAAGCTGAGCTGTGATACCAGGATCAGCCACTCCAGGGGAGTTTTTAAAGAAAACCTCAAGGCAGGGGAAGAGAAACTCTTTCAAAGGTGAGGAAGCAGAGAAACAAGTGTGTGTGACTTCTAATAAACATGTATTTCTTTGATGGGAAGTTTCCCAAAGTTCAACTACAGGCAGTAAACACTGACTGAAGATTTACTCTAAGATAATCCAAATCAAATGAATCCATCAGAATAATATGAGTAGACAATAAGAACACTGGATAGGAATTTACTGTAATTCATTTGTTTTTATTGTAAATTTATACATTTTATCTTAGATAAGTCTTGCACACTTACATTTATATTTTCTACTTTGGGACAGTGTAAGTATAAACATGCTACATATTATCTCCTTATAAAGTTGATAATGCTAAAGTGTTAGCAAACAGTGGCCTATTTACCCATCCAGTAGACATGGAGCAACATTAGCATTCATTTGGAGTTGTGTTAATGGCAAAAGTAAGGCGTTTTAGCTTCTGTCTCCAGGGAAATATCTGCCTCCGCTACCACCCATTATCATTCTACAGTAGGGGAAAAATGCTCTGGCTTGTTTGTAAATCTTTTAAACCAATTACAATCGTCTTTGGTGGTGCTAAGCCCTGAATGCAGCGACGATGCCCCTGCAAAACAGTGTCTGGAGGAGCTTGTTTGGTGGAACATTTGCACAACTTGTTGTTTAAATGGCTATATCCCAGCAAAAGAAAAGGTTACAGCCACTGGCTTTTTTATGTTTGAGCTGTTAGCGACCAGGTTAGGGTAACTATTTTCAGAATGTAGGTTGCTTGCCTGAGTGGTAAACTGAGCACAAAAGATCCAAGAGCAGACACGGTAGCAGGGGTTAGATTTTACATAGAAGATTTCTTGAACAATAAACAGGACGGTGAACGTTAAAATTCTGTAGGGCAGTGGCGGAGAGAAGGCATACAAGTTCCAAAAAAGACGACTGCGCTTCCATGTGCTGAGACAAAAAAACTGTCGAGGCACAAGACAAGTGAAAAAGACACTAGACTGAGAGACTAGACGCAGAGGCCATAGCGTGCGAATTGCCACTAAACTGGCCGGTGATCAGGTGAATTCTGAGGTGAAGGGCTGGAGTTTAAGTCTGCAGAGGTTGATTGACCAGATCATAACACTGAGGTTGTTGCTGTTTCAAGTAGCTAAAGGGATTTTGAAAAGTGGTATACTGTGTGTAATACACAGCCAATGGCAGGCTTTAACCTACAGTTTACATCCAGTACAGTTTACATCTTTGATGAAAACACTGCCTTCTATGTCTCGACTCAACCAGAATGGCAGGCTATAAAACAAGCTGTAAGATGTTACTACAATCTGTAGAGCTGAAGGAAACCACAATATTGGGTTTGTCACTGCAAGCAACGCCTTGCGCAGTATACACAGTCATCTGACCCATTGTTTATATGAAAATATTAAATAGTGCAACTTTATCTCTAATGTGGTGATGGCGTATAGATAAGATGCTTGCCTTTGGTGTGGGAGACCTGGGTGCGATTCCCACTGTAAGACATCCACCGTTGTGTCCCTGAGCAAGACACTTAGTTGCTCCAAAGGCGTGCGACCTCTGACATGTATAGCAATTGTAAGTCGCTTTGGATAAAAGCGTCAGCTAAATGAATAAATGTAATGTTGAAGGAAATTTTCAAGCAGTTGTTTCCCATTTTTGTGTTTTTGTTTTAACTTTAATTAAAAGGTTTTTATTTCTCATTCATGTCCTCGTTTCTTGTATTTATGTTGTGGTGTGTATGTGTAAGAAATATTCTATAATATGTGCTCTTCTTCAGTGGTGTCAACATGAAAGTCTCTGTTCGGGCTTCGGGAGCTGCCAGTGTCACTGTGATGCCAAAAAAGAAAGGTAAAGCATTTTTTACTGCCACCATTACCGAATAATAATAATACAATTACTCTTGTTCAAAACAAAATATGCTTCAAACAATGAAACGGGTAGAAAAGATGACATTTGTAAACAACTAATCACTTACCATCCCCCATATTAGCTTTAGTTGATTTTATTAGCAGCTAGCAGGTACATTAGCCACTTTTAGAAGTTAAAACAGATGCCTGTTTGTTCTCGTTGGCATCAACATAGTTTCTTCCAGTTTTGAAGACCAGTTTTGTACATTCATACTTCTTGTGAGGTATATGAAGTCCAATAAGATTGTAATCCCAGTAAACTACAAAATAATTAGACCATTTACATCTCTAGATAGTGAATTTGAGCCTCAAAACATTTCACAAGACTGTGAATGGCTAATTTTCAAAGTACAAGGTTGTTTATTTTTCATCCTTCATGCTACACACACAGAACTTAACAGATGATTAAATGTGTATTAAAACATGGTAATATTTTAACTAAATAAAATAAACACTGGGCTAAAGAGGCAACATGGGCGTATACACCCACCCAACATTCCGCAGTGCATTATTTGGAATTTGCATCTGAATGTAAACCACAGCAACAAGATGGTAATATGGTTTTCATCTTCATATAAAAGTCTGACCATCTCAATTGCGTTTAAGCGCCAAGAATCACAGAAGAGTCCACTTCCTCTCATCTTGCCAAACAAGGTCTGCATGACGAGTGCTTGATCTGGGATGTTGATGGGGCAGGTCTCTGTAAAGATGTGGGCACAACGGTCTCTGACTTCCATTGCTTGGACAACTTGAGCCCCGTTTTGTCCAGACTTTAAGGTCTGGACAAACAGACCACACTGTTGCAAGTGACATTCTTTTATCGCAATGAATGTTTGGCACTGTAGTTTGTGTCAATACAGTTCCAAACCCACTGTCCTGCTGAACAGTAGTGCACCAAATACGTATTTATACACTGCTGAAAATAGTCCAACAAATGCATACGTTGAATAATGAACTGAACCTTTAAAAAAATATATATATAAATATAAATAAATAAATAAAATAAAGTTGTGACATATTTCCAAGGATTTATGTCTTCAGTAGTAACAAATTGACTGGAGTTCCACAAACAGTTTGGGGAGAGACAGTGGGTTTTTTTTGTTTTTGTTTTTATGGGATTTTTTGACAGTATAAAATAACCCCATCCGTATCCTTTAACTTCTTCGCAGGTCAACCGGAGGTGAAGAGCAGCATTGTGAAGTCTGGACCCTCTGGCTATTACTACCAGGGTGTGTGGCGAGCATTGGGTGGCACCACAGTTCACCAGTTCAACACCTCCTCTGCCATCAGTCAGTGTCTGAAAGGCAAGAAGGTCCACCTGTATGGAGACTCCACCATCAGGCAGTGGTTTCAGTACTTCAAAGCAGCACTGCCAGGTAACTGATCCACAGGGATTTCTGCCAACAGTTTGATTTTGTTCACACTGCAGCTTCATCTGTTCTCTTTAATACTTTTAGACCTTAAGGAGTTTAACCTGCGCGGCCCGATGCAAGTTGGACCTTTCATGGCCTTGGACTATGCGAACAACATCTTGGTGACATATCGCTGCCACGGTCCTCCTCTCAGTTATACCATTGTTCCAACCGCCGAGCTGCGTTACGTTGCCAATGAACTAGATGGCTTAACTGGAGGCATCGACACTGTCGTAGCTCTCAGCATCTGGGCTCATTTCACCCCTTTCCCCATGGAGGTCTACATCCGGCGGCTGCAGAGCATCCGCAGGGCGGTGGTGCGGCTACTGGACAGGGCTCCAGGCACACTGGTCGTCATCCGGACCGGGAACCCCAGAGCTTTGACTTCTACTATGGCACTAGGCTACAGCGACTGGTATGCGGTGAACGGTGACAAAGTGCTCAGAGCTGTGTTCAAAGGTCTGAATGTTCATCTGGTGGATGCCTGGGAGATGTGCCTCGCCCACCACCTGCCGCACGACGTCCACCCACCTCCTCCCATTATTAAGAATATGATTAATGTTCTCTTGTCCTACATATGCCCTAAAAAGGGCGGTTAGATGTGTGGTTGCTCACTAACTGTAGCAGAATCAATGAAGCAGATTAAAAATCACATTCAGATTTATTGGCCAGGTATTTGTACACATACAAGGAATTTGACTGTTTTTGTTCCTCTCTCAATGTACTTACACAAAAATAGACATACAGCACATACAGCTAAAACAAGATCACCAAGATAAACAAAAACATTAAACTGTAACATTTTTCTCTTTTTGTGTTAAAAAATGTCTCTTACATTAGAAAATATACTGTTGCCATAAACACACATACAGAAGCCCTGTAGATAGTTATCCTATCTATGCTGGGATTTCATCCAGCAGCTAACAATCTACCTTTAAGACAGAACCTGTGCTCTGCTACTTTGACTCCAAGGTAAAATGTGGTCAATGTTCACCATAGTTTGAATAGTTTGATAGTTTAATGAACTTGAACTATTTACTTTGGGAGAAAAGTACCAACAGACTACTTTAAATAAATAGTTTTACACTTGGCAATGCGCCAGATGAGAAGATTATGCCACTCTCATATTTGTCCATTCAATAAGAAGTTTTAACCAGTTAGCTTAGCTTAGCATAAAGACAGGGGAAACTGCTAGCATGGCTCTGTTGGAAGGAAACAGAATCTACCAGCACCTCTAAACCTTTCCTGACTGCAGATTTAACAAAGAAAAACACAAGAATAAATTAATACAAACGGATGACCAGATGATTGTGAATCAAAATGTATAATTTAAGACTTGATGAAGAAATTGTGGATTATGATACAACAACCATTAATTATGTTAACACAATTCTAATTGAATAAATGTATTAAAAATAATAGTTCAGTTAAAGTTTGTAACTCTTTAAAACTCAACATTTATGTTCCTCCCCTAACTTTGGCTGGTAAAAAGGTAAAATCTCCAGAAACTTGAAAAACAGGCTGTGCCTCAATTCAGGGTCTAGATCCTGCAGATTCTGGAGTATGATGTACCATTTGCAGCCCTATGTGCTATCCCACAATCCCCTATGTACCATGCAGCTGTTTAACAGAGCTTTTTAGGTGATCCTTAGCAATTCATTAAGTTGTAAAATGACACTTGACTATGTATTTAAATGGTATTTGGTGGTCATCAATCACTGGTAAATATTTTACGTGATCTAGGACCATGAAAATCTGTCTCAAAATGATTGCTGGGATGGTGTATGCACCAGATACTATTGTTATCCCACAGGATGGGCGTTTCTTACATTCTATAGTCTATACTATCTTTTAGTAGTCGGGCACCTCACTGAATTCACTGATGCTCTGCAAACTGCCCAGAAATCATTGGTTCTGGTGGTTTTTATCACCCTCTGCAGAGCTGTCCTGGGCTGTGCAGATTCCATGTCAATTTGTGATGTTTCCAGTCAGGATGCTTTCAGTTGTTCCTCTGTAAAAGTTAACAAGAAGCCACAAGAATTTTGCTATGCTCTTCTTACATTTCTATAGGAAATACAGTCATCAGGGGGCTGATTCCCAGGAATCTGAAACCGTGAACCATGTCCACCTCAGTTCCACTGATGTCGACAGGGGCGTTTGTCTTCACCTCCTTTTTCCTAAATCACCCTGCTCCTTGGTTTTGCTGATGTTAAGCAGTAAGCTGTTCTCTGTGCAAAACTCTACAAGATTGTTTATTTCCTCCCAATATGAAGTCTCGTCATTGGTTGAAATTCCTGCCGATAATGGTGGTGTTAACTTTCCGCTAACTTCACAACAGAGTTCTCTTGTCGGGTGTTGCAGTCAGGGGTCAGTGTACAGATGGGGGCTGAGTACTAGAGTGATGGAAAAGTGACCGTCAGTCCAAACTGTATGTAGTTTGTTTGTGAGGAAGCCATATATCCAGTTGCAGAGTGTAGTACTCATGCTCAGAGTGCTAGGTTTGCCTTTAAGTTTCATGATGTAACATATATTTACAAGTCAACATTAAATGGTTATCAGAATATTAATGCAACATAATTAAATTACATGTAACATAATACTGTTAACAAATTTATGGCTATTGATAAAACTGGTTGTGTAAAAAATTAATAAATGTGTATTTTATAATGTACTCAGGGTTGGGAGGATTCTTTAAAAATGTAATCCGGAACAATTACTAATTGTTAAAATGTAATAAATAATGTAATCCAAGTACCAATAAAAGTAATGTAACATGATTACTTTCGGATTACTTGATGCGTTGTCTGCTCAGTGTATTTTTAGAGAAATATACAAAATCTTTCATTCCCATGAAATCAAAATCCATGCTTAAATGTTTTTATATGATATGCTTTGCACTATGCCAACACCATGGCAGTTTCTGGCCCATCAATGACAAAAAATGTTTTGGTATTCTTGATGATATTTAAGAGTTTGTCATTTGGAAAGAGAATTTTAAAATGTTCTCATTCTGTACTTAATGAAAAGATTTCTCAATATAATGTTGCTGAAGTATAGTGTTTCTGGACTGGGCCCCACTGATTACTGTACAAAAACACATTTTCTTCACTGATTTTGGTGAAACTGGATCATATTTGATGGAGAAATATTAGATATATGGAGAAAATATATTCTACTTTTATGTCCCCCAGCAGATCTGCCTCAATTCTGTGATTCAGAGTTTACTAATGGGTACACAGCTTTACTTGTTGCTGAAGTTAGTTAACAACCAACTAGCTCAGTTGGCTGTGCAGCCATAGCTCTCCCCGTACTGGGAGCTCGGAGCAACCTGGCGGACAGATTAGCGTCTGTAAACGCTGATCAATGTCTGCGTCACGTCCCTCGCTAGCTTTGTATTTTTACAGAAACACGTACATAAACTGTATATAAAAAAACATATACAGAAGCAAATAGAACTGCATTTTCTGTTTCATGGAAAACTTATGATTAAAGTAATCCCTATGAATAATCTCCGATTTTACAAAATGTACCTGTAATCTGATTACATCTATTTTTTTCTGGAACTAATCAAATGTCACAGATCTTGCTTGAATGAGGTCAGCAATGAACATGACTAACTGACTTGATAATGTCAGCAATGAGCAGGAACCAGCTTGAATGATATAACAATGGATGCAATGAAAATTTAGCAATTAGCACAATGCAATGTACATGAAATCACTTTACAGTAATCAGTGACAGTATCAGCAGCAATTAGCAGAATGGAATAATAATTATCAATTTGTTCTGTCTGTCCTGTGCTCATCCTGGTACTGCCCCTAGGGAGTGTGTATGTTTAAGACCGGTGAGCAATGTTAAAACAAACACAGTCTGCCCCTCTCTGTTAGAGGGTTTGTTTGTATTTAAATTTGTTAAAGTAACTTCTTTCTACTTTATGTTTACGGAATTGGCTTCTCCTTCTGTTAAAAAGGAAAGCTAGTTTTCCATTCTTTTAACCATTGTTTTATTAACTTTCTGTTTAATTGTAATAAAAATCCTGTTGACAGGTTTTCTTTTATTTATTTCTCCCTAGTTAATTATGATTTTTTTTAACAAGTAACAGAGTTTATTAACAAACAGTGTATTACATATTTATACTGTGTGTTTCTGTGTGCAATAATGATAACAGTGGAGGACTCTGGTACCTGGACAATCTCAAACATTCTCAAAGCTTTTTTTAATTTGACAGATTCAAAACAGCTTTTAAAACAAGGACACATATTTTTAAACACTGACAAGTCATCAGAAAACTTGCGGACTAGATGTTTTTGAACCAGGGACAGATCCAAAATACCAGCACCACCCACCCACACCACAACATGATTACTGAACAATATTTATAACAATAACTTTATTCAAACATATGTAAACAAGTAAGTTAGTATAATATTAATATATTAATCAAATGATGTTACTATATTTGTTATAATTTAATATAATAGTATACTATATAGCTTACCACTAGTATAATATTAATATATTAAATAAACGATGTTACTATATTTGTTAGAATTTAATATAATAGTATACTATATAGCTTACCACTAGTATAATATTAATATATTAAATAAATGATGTTACTATATTTGTTAGAATTTAATATAATAGTATACTATATAGCTTACCACTAGTATAATATTAATTCCAGTTACAGGATCTTCATTTTTGTGGGTTGTTTATATTTAATCCTTGCGCTAGAAAGATGCCCTACATGGTGGTTAATCTCTAATCTATTAATGCTACTTACTCGTCAATAATCAATCAACAATTCATGCATTCATGCATCAGAAAGTTTGCTGTAACACGTCAACCTTTTTTAATGCCCCACCCTATTCAGGCTGTTTGATTAGAATATTAGAGTTGTAGTCTTTACTGGCACACTGTTCCGATAAATCCGCGGATTTATGGCCATATGCAAGTTCGTACTGTAGAGCCCTGCATCCACAGATTAATTTCCTGGAAGTCCTGCCAAGAGAACAAAGTTCCCAAAAAGATTTAACTGCAGGATCACAAAAGAGTTCTCTGTTCATCTCTGTGTTCCCTTGAAATGAGTCTCTGCTCAGGTAAGACACATGATTCATTTGAGTAAATTTAAAGTTTATTTATAGACACCATAAAAACTGAATGTTGCCACTAAGCATTTTAATGTGTATATTTTTTAAGGTAGGCCTATTTGTATTTTACTATTTCCATTTAATGCTACTTTATTCTTCTGCTCCACTACATTTCAGAGGGAAATGTACTTTACATAATTTATCAGTAATAATGCATCTCATTTATTTGCTGATTATATTTTGTATTAATCTGGATCGGCAAATTTACCAAGTAAAACTTTATTTGCCTCCAAAAGGTAGCTGAGTATAATATGGAAACACTGAAGTAGTACTAGTACCCCGCTTGAGTTCTAGTTTAATGCTACAACACTAAAACACACACTTCGGTAGATTGATTAGCTTCTCCACAATTCAGTCGTTTAGTTCATTTTACGGGAACCTTAAGCATCAAAGTAGAATTCATTGAGATGAACCGAGACAGAAGAAAGAAGCGAATCACTCCATTTGAACCGATCATAAAGTCCGAATATGTG